TTTTCTAATTTTTCTCTAATATTAAAAATGAAGGGAAAAATGAGAAATATGTAAATGGTTTACAATTTGAGAGAAGATATAAAATTTTAATAAAAATTAAATTAATTTTTTTTTATCAATTTAATGTACTCTTTGTTATAAAAAAATATATCTAAGTGATTTATATTAAAGAACAAAATGGTGTGAACATAAGGAGCATGTTATGAGAAGAAAGATTTCAACATAAATGCCCATCTGTCTATGCTGTTTCTTATGTATAGTTGTAACTGTAATTTTAAATTTATAGTAGTAAAATGCTCCTGGTCCTATTTATAGGCAGAAAAAGAAGTTTTTGGGTTCTATTTATAAGTCACTTCATTAAATTTTCAATATAAATATATTTTAGTTATTAATATTTTTTATTTGTCGTTATTATTACGATGTAAGTAGTTATATCTTTTGAAAAGTGTATATATTAAATATGGGTAAAGTTGAAAAATTGTTATATTTTAATAGAGAGTTAATACATTTTAATGTTTTTTTAATCTGTGTGTGAAATATACTGAAAATATCTTATAAATAAGATAAGAGGAGTATTTGTTACTCCCTCCGTTCTTTATTATAAGAGACAAATAACCGAAGTACGTTGATAAAAAAAATAGTTAAAATTAGTTAAGAACAATTAATAGATAAAAAGCATAATTTTTTTTTTCAAAAATGCCCTCATTAATAAGGAAAGAGAGCATGAGAGAGAATAATTAAATTATTAAAAGAAAGAGAAGTGGGAGAGAGAGTGTGTGTGAGTTGAAGATAATAAATATGGGTAAAATAGGAAATCAACACAAAGAAGTAGAGACAACTTTTAAGTGTCTCTTATATACGAGAACATGTCATAAGCATCAAATGTCTCTTATAATAAGGAACGGAGGGAATATAAAAATCATTGATTGTAATTTAATAATGCATATTTTTTTTGCCAATAATAATAATGCATATTTTGAAAGATACGAATATACCATCGGTTGTCTACCGAACAATATTTACGTTGGCAAGGAAAAAAGTCATATATATCAACAAGAAAATTTAATGTCTCCTATAAGGGAAAAAAGAAAAGTTTAGTGTGGGTTTTTGTGTGGCGTTCAGGGTTTCGAAAAATCAGCCACAAGTTGGCCAAAGAAAGAAAAATCAGCCACACGGCCACACCTATTGGCTGTTTTTTTATCGCTATTTATCTTTTTATATTATATCCTGCAACACAGAAATTAGGAAACTGGTATCACTTAGAGATGCCCATACACAGCACCAGAAACCAGATTACTGCCGCCATGGACGTGTTAATCAGATCAAGCGTACCGTTAGGCACCCTGGGATTGTTGCTCTTTCTCTACCTTTCCCTTTCCAAATCAAGAAGCCACCGTAGAAATAAAACTACGGGTAGAGAACCGCCACCGGAAGCAGGCGGCGCGTGGCCAGTGATAGGGCATCTCCACCTCTTAGGCGGGCCAGAGCCACCGCACATAACCCTAGGCAAGATGGCCGACAAATATGGACCAATCTTCACCATGAGGCTGGGGGTTCACCCAACTCTGATTGTGAGCAGTTGGGAGATTGCCAAGGAGTGCTTCACCGCGAACGACAGAGTTTTTGCTAGCCGTCCCAAGTTCGTAGCCGGCCAAGTCATGGGCTACAACTACAGCATGCTCGGAGCCAGCCCCTACGGATCCTACTGGCGTCACGTGCGTAAAATCGCCACGATGGAGGTCCTCTCCAACCATCGCCTCGAGATGCTCAAACATGTGAGAGAGTCCGAGGTTAAGTCAGCCATGAAGGACACCTATGATGGTTGGGCGCAGCTGAACAGCAGTAGCGGTCAGAATCAAGAAGCAGTGCCTCTGTCTTGTGAAATGGAGAAATGGTTCGGAGACATAATCTTAAATGTTGTGTTTAGAATGGTGGTCGGAAAACGATTTGTTGAGACCGAAGGGAATGAAAGGATTCGGAAAACATGAGGGATTTGTTCGACCTGAGCGGAGCATTCGTGATATCAGATGCGTTGCCGTATCTGAGGTGGCTGGATTGGGGCGGCCAAGAAAAGGCCATGAAGAAGACGGCAAACGAATTAGAACAATTTATTCAGTTTTGGTTGGATGAACACAGACGCAAGAGGGACTCCGGTTCAGGGCAAGCCAAGCCTAAGCATAGCGCCTTCATGGATGTGCTTCTTTCCAGCACTGATGAATCTGAAATGATTGATGGCATCGATTCTAATACTATGATTAAAGCCACAAGCCTGGTCAGTCTTTCACCCACGTATTAATTATCTCTAATTTTAGTCCCTTTTCATTGTAAATGTTCATGATATTCTTATCTATGTATACGTCTAAATTAATGTATGTTCTTCGTCTGATCTACCCAGTATATACATAAGCAAACATAGACATGGCATCTTGAAGGGTGAAGTCGCAAATTAAGGTTGAATGGGAAATTTACACTTTGCAGGTGCTAATATTAGCGGCAACAGACACAACAACAGCAACACTAACTTGGGCTCTGTCTTTATTACTGAACAATCGTGAAGTCTTAAAGAAGGCAGTAGATGAAGTAGACGGACAAGTTGGGGGAGAAAGGCTGGCATCAGAATCAGACTTGAAGAACCTGCCGTATCTGCAAGCCATCCTGAAAGAGACACTGCGCTTGTACCCAGCCGCACCACTCAATCTGCTGCACAAGTCTATGGAAGATTGCACAGTGGCAGGGTACCACATACCCTCAGGCACCCATCTCTTGACCAACCTCTCAAAAATTCAACGGGACCCACGTGTATATGGAGACCCATTGGAGTTTAGGCCAGACAGATTCCTAAGTACTCACCAAGATTTGGACGTGAGAGGGCAGCATTTTGAGCTGATTCCCTTTGGTGCAGGGAGAAGAATGTGCCCTGGTGTCTCATTTGCTCTCTTGATGATGCAACTCACACTCGCCAATCTGCTGCATGGCTTTGATATTGCAACGCCTCATAATGAGGCAGTGGATATGCGAGAACAGGTCGGACTTACTAACGTCAAAGCCTCACCACTCCATGTCCGTCTTGCTCCTCGTCTCTCATCCCGTCACCTGTATGGATGACGGAGGGGGAAAAAAAAAATTGAACTAGCTAGCTTTGGCTTTTATTATATGGACCTGTTTTTAAGTCTGAATAAATATCTAATTAATGAATGGAGGCTTTTCGGGACTCATTATTTTTGGCCTATTGTATATATTCTTTGAGAAAATCCCTAAAAAATATTATTGAATTTTAAAATTTTATATCAATATTGGTTATTATACTCGTTGAGAACATGACTACATTTGAAAAGTAAATGACAACATATTTTTATAATAATGTTTTATTTAGAATGTTGACTCATTTTTTTTGGAATTTTCTCATATTCTTTTGCCAAGTTTATTTATTATTGTTATGAATAAATCATATTCTTGTCATTAGTTTAATTGAAGAATCTAAGTCTAATTGTCTTCCTGCACAATAATTAATTGATATATACAACATAAATTGTATATATTTGGAAGTTTGTATAAGAGAATTTTGTTTTGGAAAATATAAGTAAACAAGACTTCTATGCATGGATCATCATCTTTTTACCCTTTTTTGGGCCTGAAGATCATCAATTTTTTACCTGAAATATATGGTTTACATTATGGTCGCGTCCTAATGTTTATCAGCACCCAAATATTGAATTGAATTCGCTGTAAGGATACTAGGGGTGCCAACAGACGCATGAAAACGCCGGAAGATGCGTGAGGTGGCGTGCGGGGTGACACGCAATGTTGCGGTTGACAAATTCCAATCGGATACTAATTAGGCTTTTTTTTCTTCAAGTAATAGTAAGTTCATTGTGCAAACAACGACTCAAAGTTAATTTAAATATTAAATTCAGATTAGAGAAGTTAGGATAGGTTCTATAAATTAATTTTTTCCAAAAAAATAATGTGAGATATAACATGTGAAAAAAATATATTATGATATCCTGCATCTGTTACTTAATACAATACCTAATTTAATTTTTGATTTGTTTTTAAATATAAGATGTAATATATTACCTCTATTTTTTAATATAAGATTTAGTTTAACTGTTAATTTGATACTAAATATAAGATTTTAATTTATTTTATCTCTCATATTTATTTATTTTTTAAAGTAGTTCTCATAATAATTACATATGTTAACTGTTCTATAAAATAGTAGTTTTAATTAATATACATTATTAACAAGATTCTTTTGAGAAAAATAACATCTATTTATTATAAATAACCATATTAACAAATTTTTATATTTAAATTAGTGATCTAGCTTTTATATTAAACACTAAAGATAATATTTATAATTATTTCAAACAATGTATCCTTGAGCTCAATCATCTTTTTTTTTAGCAAGGTCGTTTTTATTTTAGAAGTGTTTGGACGGAAACAAAATTATAATTTTAAAAATATTTATACAATATATAAAATAAACATGTGAAGACTTCAATTTACTGAGAAGTGTGTTTTAAAAATACTTTTTTTTAGTAATCCAAGCACTCCCTTGACTATGAATTAAACAAAAAAAAAAAAACACTCCATTAGCATAACACCATACATAAGACATGCCAGCCAGGGATTTGCATTGGATGCTCATTAGTTTTGATGAGCACCCAATGCTCATCAGATCTGGACGATTCATATTTAATTTTATTTTTATTTTTTTAAATAATTATTTTAATAGGTATAGGATAAAAAATAAAGTAATCTCTTAATTATTATTCTTTAAAAATATAATTTTTTTTATTTTAAATAATTATTTAAAAATATTAAATTTGAACCGTCCAGATTAGATCTAGACGGTGCAGATTGCTCGTCAGGGGCACTTGGTACTCATCTGTGGAGGCGCCAGCTAGTAACGAAGTGGGCCCCATATGCTCCCTCGTGGCTCCGGTTCTGCACGCTTAAGACCTCCGGCTTTTACCCAAACCTGCGCCGAGAGGGATATTGCTGTTGCGGGGCGAAAATGGAATTCAACAACCAAATACGGTGGACCAACTCTCTCTTTTTATTTTCATTTTTATCAACAATCAGCATATTAGTAGCTGCCCTGTTCTCCATCTGCTTCATTCAACATTTACAACATACCCATACACAGCACCAGATCCCAGATTATACCCACGACCATGGACCTGACAATCTCCAAGCAATCAGTCACTCCCTTTACCTTCTTTGGATTGTTGCTCTTTCTCTACCTTCTTTTCTCCATATCAAGAAGCCATCGTAGAAACAACAGTACGGCTAGAAAACCACCACCGGAAGCCGGCGGTGCCTGGCCTGTGATTGGGCACCTCCACCTTTTAGGCGGGAAAGAGCCACCGCACATCACCTTAGGCAACATGGTCGACAAATACGGACCAATCTTCACCGTAAGGCTCGGTGTTCACCCCACCTTGATTGTGAGCAGTTGGGAGATTGCCAAGGAACTTTTCACTGTAAACGATAGGGTCTTTGCTAGCCGTCCCAAATTCTTGGCTGCCGAAGTCATGGCCTATAACTTCAGCATGATCGCCTTCAGTCCCTACGGAGATTATTGGCGTCAGGTGCGCAAGATCGCCACGCTGGAGGTCCTCTCCAACCATCGCCTCGAGATGCTCAGACACGTGAGAGAGTCCGAGGTTAAGTCATCCATGAAGGAAACCTACGATCGTTGGGCAGAGTTAAACAACAGCAGCGATCAGAATCTAGAAGCAGCGCCTCTGTCATGTGAGATGAAGAAATGGTTCGGAGACATAATCTTAAATGTTGTGTTTAGAATGGTGGTCGGAAAACGATTTGTTGAGACCGAAGGGAATGAAAGGATTCGGAAAACATTGAGGGATTTGTTCGACCTGAGCGGAGCATTCGTGATATCAGATGCGTTGCCGTATCTGAGGTGGCTGGATTTGGGCGGCCAAGAAAAGGCCATGAAGAAGACGGCAAACGAACTAGAACAATTTATTCAGTTTTGGTTGGATGAACACACGCGCAAAAGGGGCTCCGGTTCAGGGCAAGCCCAGCCTAAGCACGACGACTTCATGGATGTGCTTCTTTCCGTTGCTGATGAAGCTGAAATGATTGATGGCCGTGACTCTATCACTCTAATTAAAGCCACAAGCCTGGTCGGTCTCTCACATATATCCTAATCCTCTTTCTTTCTATCGATATTCAATATTTATTTTTTGGGATTTTAAAGCCGTCATCCGCACAAGTTTTTCAGATCCTAATTCATGCTTCTGTGCTTTTTATTTGTTTTGTCCGCATCATATACATTCATGATATTCTATTTTATTTAAAAAAAAGAGAGATATTACTGTTATAAGCGAAAATTCATTAATAAAATTTAGAATTATATATATATATATCTACCTTTCCTTATTAAGAATAAGATAAAGATATTATTTAATTAGATACATGCTGCGAGGTGGGTGCGTGCGCGTGTCCGTGTGTTCATCATTACACAGAAGCAAACATAGATGGCATCAGGATAATTTAATTTGTGTGGATGCCTGGTTTTCACCAAGGCCAGTTTTAAAAGGTCGCATGGGAAATTTGCAGGCAATAATTTTAGCGGCAACAGACACAACGACAGGGACGCTAGCTTGGGCTCTGTCTTTACTTGTGAACAATCGCGAAGTCCTAAAGAAGGCCGTAGATGAAATAGACGCACAAGTTGGGGGGGAGAGGCTGGCATCAGAATCAGACTTGAAGAACCTGCCGTATCTGGAAGCCATCCTGAAGGAGACGCTGCGCTTGTACCCAGCCGCACCACTCAACGTGCCGCACGAGTCTATGGAAGATTGCACAGTGGCAGGGTACCACATACCCTCGGGCACCCATCTCTTGACCAACCTCTCAAAAATCCATCGGGACCCACGTGTGTATGAAGACCCATTGGAGTTTAGGCCGGACAGATTCCTAAACACTCACAAAGATTTGGACTTGAGAGGGCAGCATTTTGAACTGATTCCCTTTGGTACAGGAAGAAGAATGTGCCCTGGTGTCTCATTTGCGCTCTTGATGATGCAACTCACACTCACCAATTTGCTGCATGGCTTTGATATTGCAACTCCTGATAACCAACCAACAGATATGCGAGAACAGGTTGGGCTCACTAATATCAAAGCCTCGCCTCTTCGGGTCCTCCTCACGCCACGTCTCTCCCCTCATCTTTATGCATAATGGAGACAAAGAATGGGCTAGATCGCTTGGCCTTTAATTTTATCATCTGTCTGTTTTTGCTTTTTAATGAGCGGAGGCTTTTTATAACTCAAGCATTTGATCATCAGCATATATCTTTTATTATTATTGCACTGTTCTTGGAAAGCATATTTCAGTCTTCAAATAGTGTGGCGCGCACACACAAGTGCATGGACAAGACTAAGGCATCATTTTTGAATGCATAATATAATGAGTCGATATCGATGATACATTTAACTCAAAATGCCATATTCTGTTTCTGAAATTGGGGTTTCCTTTTCCCTCTTTTACTCTTTGCAATTTGATTGGTGGCGCTCATCGATCCACTTACACCCTCAATCTCATCACTAAGCCCTCCTCTCTCCTAGCTATTATATTGTCTCCATTAAGATTATGTGGGGTTTGTTATAATAATGATGCAAGGCAGTTCGAAAAGAAAAGATGGCAATTGACTGACGTACTGCAGTTATAACTATGCTTATTATTTTTATGAATAGATATGGGAGAAAGAAGAATGTAACTAGTTTTGCTCTCAAAATGGTCCATCCACGTAATGGGATGGCCCTTTTATGATCCGTCACAAAGGCGGTCCTTCGTTGGTAGTTGATCCCCATTCAATATGGCATCACGACTCCCAACCACATTGTGTTGCAAAACTTCCCCAAACCAATGCCTCATAAATAACCCTGCACCGCCTCTGCCTCTGCTTCCTTCCTCTTCTCTCTCTGTAACTCTGACGCACATGCAACTGATCATCAATAATGGAAACTGCTCAAATAGGAAACCAGAATGCCCTCACACCGACACAAATTAACAACCCATGATAACAAAAATATGCCAATACCACCATCAATTTCTGTGTTCTCTTGATTCAATTATTTAATCAACGTCGTGCACGGTCTGATTCATTGACTCTGCAAGTAATCAGCCGCACTATAATACTAGATGTAACAATCTGAACGGTGATTGATTAACCGACCCCCAAAAAAAAAAAGAAAAAAAAAGAAATGAAAGGTGGGTAACAAGATGCTCTACAGTGTCATTGGTCTTTATTATTGTCTTACTGACAAAATATAATATGCATGAACCCACATGATCGGACAACGACTCCCAATCCTTCAAATGCTTTTACATGCCCCCCTGGCCCCCCCCGGGCCCCGGGAGACCCAGAGCTTCTCAAACGACAATGTTTTCATGTCGGCCATTATACACTACTCACTTCTCGCATTAATCACCTGTAATAATATCAACGCTCCCACATATTTTTTTGAATATTGTTTGTTAATACTCCCGTAATAATTAATATGATTTCAACATATTTAAATTCAAGATTAGCACTTAGCAGTAATTCTGGCACACATTGTATAACTATATTTTGGGATCTTGGAACAACGATACCAACTGACGTATCCAGTGGTAAACCGTTGGTTCTTCTCACAAGAGGCTCCCCCATGCATGCCTCCTCGTGTATATCCAGAATTTATAATGTTTGTGTAACATTCTAATTTTCATATATCTAATATTTAAACAAATTTTTATACAATAGGTAGAGGTTAAATATATATATATATATGTAATTAAAATAATTCTATTTATGTATGTATATATGTGTGTGTAAGAGAAAATGAATAAAATAACAATGTTAAGAAGTCCCACATTGACTAAATAATAAGAAGATGGATAAAATAGCAATGTTAAAAAGTCCTATCTCGACTAAATGATAGAAAGAAGGAGCTCTAGGAGCTTATATATAGATGGTAGCAGAAGAGAGTTAAAAATGAATTAAATAATTTTCACACAAAACTGAGATAATCTCAGTAAAATGATGTTTACGAGTCTGTGAACCGTTGGATCGGACTGCAATTTGGTCAGCTAATCCTAGACATCATACTTGTTAGTTTCAATGGTTGGATTATCAATTCAATCTATGAGTTATAAGTTATTAGGTATGTTATTTATTTATTTTTTTAGATTTAGTAGATAAAATACCAGATAGTAAATTAGCGTTTTTAAATTTGTTCACTGTTGGATTAACCTGAAATTTAGAGAGTAAACTTGTGACATGTAAGATATTAAATTCAATGGTTGGATTAATAATTAGACTTGTACAGTAAGAATAAATTAACTCATATTGAAGTTATTTGTCTAAATTCTTTGAAGATAGAACATAAGCTATAAATTGAGGGCTCTAGGTTATGAATTTGGTGATTCGAATGATATAATTTAATACTTAAAGATAATGCAGGTTAAGGGAACCTAGGAATTGAATATAAATTATCATATATGTGTTCTAATCCCAAACCTTAGAAAAAGCCTTTCGAGTGACAGTTGAAGGTATTAATTAGAGGGAGTGTTAAAGACAAAAAATTTGTGAGTAGTTTACTCTAGTACTATAGAGATAATGTTTTAATTTCAATTATAGATATAAATACTATTATGGAATTTTCGAGTACGGGCATCGTTTGTACTTGATTGTTAGCTAGCAATCCAAGTAACTAAATTTCTATCTGTTACATATTCTGGTATAAGGCTGGTGAGTAATTTTATAACCAATTTTTGTATACATATATTATGTTTTGTATGAACTGTCTTGTGGGATGCTATTTTGAAAAAATGTTGAAATATTTGTATTGTTAGAAATTAATGATTATGACTAAGATATTATTCTGGAACTCGTTTGATCACGCATATAAATGTGTTATTGTGAACCCTGTGCATCTGGTTTGGTTAGAGGAGGAGATGATTGGAGTATACAGATATAAACATGCCACGTGGTATTGACTTCCATATGGAGCTCTATGGTCGGCTACTATTATTGTCTTACTAATTCTTTGAGGGACTGCGACACTCCACTAGTTCTTCATGGGGGGACCTATAGTCCACCGAGTACTTTGTGGTCTTTGACTAGTCCATAGCACTCGTGTGGTGAACTTGTTAAAGTAGCCAGTCAAATAGAAAGAACTTAGTCCAGGGGTCCAGTTAGCAGAAATAAGGAAGATATAAGGATATATTTGGGTTCATAGATTGCATGTGACATGGTATATTTATTTGATATTTATATCTTTTGAATAAAATGAAAAGTATGTTATCTCTTTTGAAATTTATCAACTGCATGAAATTGGCAGAAATACTTGACCTATATGTTTATTGTGAGTTTATCTGTTAAATAAATGTCTATTGACTGTTATTAACTCTGTGTATCCTACCAGATACCTCGCTAGCTCATGCTAATGTGTATGATGAGTAGGAATTTAGTTACTAAGACGTTGTTTTATCCCTATTGTTTAACATTTTTCAGGTGAAAGTTTTATAAGGGGGACATCAAGGAAGGCTCGGGAGGAGTAAAGCTACATTAGTGACTTGTAGCGTCTCCTTGGTTTATGAGCTATATTGTATCCTGTATATTGCCACCTTAGGATAAATTATTTTTAATTGATTCATGCATTATTATGTCTTATGTCCTTTGAGTTGTACTATTGTAGTACGTGTGCTGGTAGTTGGCAAGAGACCTAGAATCACATGTGATTTGTTTATGAATTTATTATAAAATATGAATTAAGATTTAATTCTTAATATTTTGATTTGTCAGTTATATTATATGTTGTTTTATAATCATATTAAATGATATTGATCATTTCTTACATAGTTTGTATTTAAATGAGTTAGGAAAAGTTCTTTTATCCGTGATAGGATATATGATTGGGTGCTGCTCTTTTCTATCACGGATAACAATATTATATAATTAGTTAATGTAGATCGTTGTGATATAATTTGAGTTTGTATTTAGCATAATTTGGTTATAAAAAGTTATTTCTTAAAGTTATGATAGAAAAGTTAAATTTATCGGTTTATTTAGAAAGATTGTTTCAGTTTGTAATATTACTCAGAGTGCGCTTGTGTGTACTGTTTACCCGCCATCTCAACTAAAGAGAGACTTGGAGCTTGTTAATCTGGTTTTATTTTCAACTTTTTTTGTTTATCTTAACAATAAATTTTGCAGGAAAAACAATATCACGCAAGCATAATGGCTAAGTCATTGTTTTCTTATCAATATTACTCGCAATAGATGCATAAAATATGTACCAAGTGATGACAGGCGAGGGAAGATATTATCCGTACCTAATTAGGTGAAATGTTCCGTATGTTGTCACGCACAATTCAAGAAAACGACGAATGATTTATGTTATTTATGTTTTGATAATTATAGGATTTACTATATATTATTAAATAATGAATAGAAGTATTATATATCTTTTTAGTCAGTGATGTCAAGCTTTGAAATAAATAAAAAACAAAGAAAGACAGGCGATTAATTCAAAAGCTATCATGAAGGGAGAAAGTTTTATGGGGAAGGCGGTGATGGTGGGTCTTTCATCTCTGCTTCTCTACATTTTCTTGTTCTCTCGTTCATTTGGCTGGCGCTACTGCCGTTAGTTCTTAAGTTTTACGGGCAAAAGATGACGCTTCCATCCTCTGGTAATCCTCATCATAGGGTTTCGCAAGAACCACCACCTTTTTATTCAAGTTAAAGACCTAAAAGTGACTCAGTCCTGAGACCGGGGTATTTGGATATGCTTAAAAGTATTTTTGAGAGCATTTTTTCGTGCATCGAAATAAATTTCTTTCTATATTTACTTTGTATGCTGTAAAATGACTTTTAAAATTATAGTTTAGTTTCCGTCTAAATATTTCTTCAGTGATATTGAAATTATAGTTTCGTTTCCGTCTAAATATTCTCTTAGTGATATTGAAACCATAGTTTGGTTCTCGTCTAAACAGTAAAGGGTTTGAAACAAATTTGGGCTTCGACTGAAACCAAGGCCCGCACAATATGGGGTAGCATTTACGACCCAAACAGATAGAACGAGAGCGAGCCTGTGGGCTTCAATAAGTAATTTTTCGGCTTTGCTCATTATCAAGCCCTTTTTCCTCGGATAAGGAAGCACCATTTTCATCCATCAATTTATCAATTTTTTTTCCCAGCTCACTAGTCTGCCTTTTTGTTTCCAAGACATTGTCCCTCTATATACTGGTTTGAAAAGTTAAAGTTCATTTAATCGCTTTTATTGCAAAGCATGATATGAAATGCTTTTTAA